ATATATATATATATATGTATGTATGTATGTATGTATGTATGTATGTATGTATGTATGTATTGATCTTGTGGTCTTAAACATACCATGTGATAGTTAAATTTAAAAAATGGTCCATAAAAAAGAATCTTAAACAAATTAAAACATTTTTATTTTGTTGCTAAAAAGCTGAAGATAATTTTATTATTACTAAAAAATTAGGCCCTTCAATTTTGGGGTTTAAGTCATATGCCTCATCTTTAAAGGCATTAAGTCACACTCGAAAAAAACCCTAATTAAAACAACAATAACAAGAAATATACTCTGATGATGGGTGTATCTAAATTCATTGTGTGATGGTGGTGGAAGCAACAAAATTTAGTTATTTCAAACTTGTTTCCCTTAAGATTGTAGTTTTTCTAATAATTACACTATTAAGAAAAAGTAAAATATTTGTGAAATTCTAATTATCTTATCTTGAGAAAACATAAATTAAAGGCATATGGACTTATGGCTTAGTCTTGAATAATGAATATCACTTTAACGATCAATTCTTTTTTTAAGTTATAGGAATCTGATTTCTCATTCAAGTCTTGATGGTTTTATGTTTGATTATGGGGTTGGATATGAATATTTGAATTAACAAAATAATACTATTTCTCATGATTTTAGTATTATTATTAATAGGTTATACATAAATTAAAATTTCAGGATATATTTTTTTATTATGTTTCACCAAAATATTGAAATTAAGTGTGTATTTCACTAAATTAATATTTTATGCTTCTTGTAGAACAAATGTTTGGGGTCATATATTTCAAAAGAGGTTAATGGTAATACTAGTATTAGTTGTACCAGAGTTAAATTTATGGTCAAACATTGTACTAAAATTTCATACAAACTATTTTTATATGTACTACCAAATGACACCTTTAGTGCTAAAGGAAGTGTTAAGTATTATCTATTCATTTATAATGTTACAACAAACACATGTCATTCCTATAATATTTTGATGTAAGCACTCAATACTATAAATTTCTAGTACAACAAGTATAACATCACTAATTTAAACGTCTATGTTTTTTTCAAATTCTATACAAAAATACTTTATATGTGTTTGATTTAACCTAAGCCAAACAAATTTACATCAAGAGTTGCTGCTTAAAGAAATCAATGCAAATGTCAACTAGAAATAATTTCTTTAGCATTTTTTAAACATGGAAAAAGGTTACATTTGCCTCCTATTATGTACCTTTTCCTTTAATCTTAGAGTTGTGACATGTTTGTTTGTTGTTCATGTAGTGTGTACTTTTACCTTATCTATCGTACTTTTGTTTACTTTCTACAGATTGTCATGCCTCCGGATATCACATTTAATCATGTGAGAACAGTTAAATTTTATGATGTACTATTAGAAGACGTTGAAATGAAGCTTATCAATGTTTTATTGGCAAAGTCTCCAGCATTGGTGAAAATGGTAATCAAGCATCATCAAATGGAAACTAACAAATCTCTCAACGTACTCGCGGAGATAACAAAGTTTCAAAGGGCATCATCTAAAGAAGAAGTTGTGTATCTTGTTGATTAGTATCGTTATCACAATAATTCTTAATCTTTTGCTAAAATATTTTGGAAGTACAAACAGAAACGAGACGTTTTGTTGATGAAGTAGCAAGGCTGTGTTTTGCCTTTGCTTTAAGGTACTATAAAGATTTTATCTGCTTGGAAACATAGAATTAAGAATCTGGATTAATGTTTTGAATACTTTGTTGGGGAACAGAGATGGTTTTACATTTCATGCTTGTTATTGATTTAAGACTTTGGTTGTTTATTTTGGACTTATGTTTTGTGATGCAGAACTAACAAAGATTTTGCATGACATTCTTGTTATTGATTCATCTCTGAAATAAGACATGGCTTTAAAAGTTGGAACTGTCACGGGCTAATTTAGGTAGAAAATGAAAAACACATGATGATTTATATATAACACTCGCAAAAGGAAAAAAAAATGAAACTTTAAATGTGTCTTTCCTTAACTTTTTCTTCTACTATATATATTCTCTCTATTTTAATATTTGTGATGCATCTTAAATAAGATATATTACATACTTTAACATGTAAGATGACCGTATGATATACAAAATATTTAAACAAGAAAATGTATATTACTTGGGAGTTAATATATATACTCTTAGAATCATTAAGACAAATGAAAAAAGAAGTTTTAGTTGTTAAATACGAAATCAAATTTGCTCTTTATTTCAGATGGGTCACAAAGGTCGATTTGATTTAATTTTTAATTAGAATAAACCTAAACTAACTATTTCATTTTATTAGTTCTAAAAACTAAATCAAATCATATAAAGTTGGATTTTTCAATTTTTACTTTAGTGTTTTTTTTATTTATTTTATTATTTTATAATTACACGGTGATTGAAAAAGAGATTAAATATATTTTCAAAATTTTCAAAAAATGATTAAATTGACATAAATAAAAAATACTTTCAACATTCGTTACAAAATAAATTGTTAACTTCAAAACTGAAACTATAATAGTATAATTGTAACTTGCATCCTAATAATAAATAAAATAATTTCAAAAGCTTGTCTCTTCAGTTTCTTCCAACACCTCCATTTGAGAAGACAAAGAGAGCAGAGTGCTTCACATTCATCCTTTCTCAGGTTCTTCTTCTTCTTTGTTAACACAAACTCTCTGCTTTTATGGTTTTTGTTCTATAGATTTTTGATATCAAGATTGCATTTTTATTTTTTGGGTATGCTTTAATATGATGAAATTGAAGTGGGGTTTGCTTAGAACTTGATGGGATTAATGTTTTTCAAGGACATGGTGTGATGGTAGGTGTAGGTCTATCATGGATGTGTTTCAGTAGTGGCAGAATTAGGATTTTCACTATGTTGGAATAGGAATAATAAGTTTCTAAGTTTTGGATAACTCAAAAACACTTATTTTACTTGGATTTGATACACTTGAGTTGTGGGTCTTTCGAAAACAATATCTTTTTCAGTACACAAGTAAACTAGGTACTGTGTACTCTAACCAGACAGTTTCGAGATTTCCTTACATATTGTGTTCTTGTTTATTTTCTGCAGATTCTTGTCGTAGTAGTGATTTGATGTTATGCTTCCAAATGGGAAAAAACAACTTTTACCTCCGTGATGTACTTAGCAACCTTCATGATAGTGTAATTGATGACATTCTAACGAGATTGCCTTTACGAAATGTTGTGAGGACAAGCATCTTATCAAGAAATGGAGATACAATTGGCATAGACTTCCGCAGCTGAAATTTGATCAAACACTTTGGAAAACAATAGAGGACTTGGCCGTTCATGTAGGACCAATTACTAAATTTACCCTTGATCACTTGATATAATTCCTCTCAAGGAATGGCATTCAACATCTTGTCTTTAAACCTCCGTTTAGGAGTAAGCCATATGATTGCCTTCTGCATATTTTACATGTTCACAATTGAGGTATCTGTTTCTGAAAGACTGTCAAATACGTCCCACTCATGTCTTTGAGGGATTGATTAGTTAATTAGCTTAGCACTAATTTAAGTCACAATTTCTTCTGAATTTCTTGGAAGTATAATTTCACATTGCCCGTTGCTTAAGCATTTGGTGCTGCAACACGACGCTATTACAAATCACATTTAAATTAGTGATCCCAAGCTAAGGTCATTTATCTTCACTGGCAATATAATGTTTTTACATTTAAAGAATGTCCCTCTTCTTTCCAAAGTTTCATATGAGCCTACAGAATATTCGGAAGAGGTTGAACATGATGTTGACAATATTTCTGAGTCTATTCCTGCTCTCGAGAATCTTTGCTGGAATCACGAGTATGTTTAGGTAATATAGCTTCATAACTTGCATTTTCATTACTTTTAGTTATCTGATTTTCGACATTTTCTTCCTAGGACGTGTATATTGGACCATTTCCCTTATACTCTTTTCTATCTTAAACGCCTCCACATATATTGCATTAATCTATGAGTATTCTTTGATCTTCCGTTTGCTCTTTGCTTGATAATAAGTTCTCCAAATGTAGAAGAAATTAAAATCGAGGTTATTAATGATGTTTACTTTTCCCTCTCTTTTTTCGTATGTATTGACTTTCTTATGATCTTCAATTTTAAATCAAGACTGATGGTTTTTTTAATCTTTCTTAGAACTATTTTGAACATGCGCGCCGGGAGGCTGTTGATGATATTCCTGAATGTTTCTCGGATATGACATTTAATCACCCGAGGATAGTAAAGATTGATAATGTAACAGGAGTAGCAGCTGAAATGCAGCTTATAAAGGTTTTATTGGCCAAGTCTCCAACACTGTTCAGAATGATAATCAAGCCTTGTGAAACGGAAGATAAAAAATATTTTAATGTACTCGCTGAGGTAACAAAATTTTAGCGTACATCATCTAAAGCAGAAGTTGGGTATAATGTAGATTAGAATCCATATTACAATCCTGTTTGATCTTAACTAGTCTTTAATAAGATCATAATCTTTTTCTAAAATGTTTGAAATCGTAAAAAGAATGTTGATACAGCAGTAAGGCTGTTATTTTGCATTTGCCACTATGAAGACCATCATTTTGTGAACATAAGTGAATTTGGATGTATGTTTTTTATTAATCTGTTTCAATGTCTATTCTTTGAATGATCTATGGATGACGCTTTGGCTGGTTATTGATCTTTTTAATACATTCATTGTGGTCCTCATGGTCATTGTGCATTGGTTTTATTTGATATGATCATGACATGAGTTGAGCGTAAATGGAATAGTGAGGATTCATATAGTCGATTTCAACTAGTTGCTTTATGAGAGTCGACGACGTTGTTGACACATTTTTCTGAATAGTGAGAAAGAATGAAATTTGATCAAATTCCTTGATCTTAATGGTTAATAAACAATACCCATTTTGAATGGAAAAGATAATCCCTTTCAACAACATTTTCAATGAGAATTATGATACAATATACATTATAAGCTAAAATTGAATTTCAACAATATTATTCTTACAAGCTCAATGTTACAGTTCCACATCCCAGAAAAATTATCACTAAAACCAGGAAAAGGGAAAAAAGAGGGGGTGGGGGTGGGGGTGGAGTCAGTTGTTCATAAATCAGTTTTTTTTCTATACAGTTAGAACATATCCCATTCCTTTATCCAGATTCCATATAAATCATATATATACAAGCTTCATCGAACCCTACCGCAGACAAAAAGTCTGGTATATAAGTGGAGAAGAGTAAAGGGGAGGGTCTATCATCCACTGAGTTATGAACCGTGCACTATTGATCCTCGAGGACTTCTTGGTTACAAAAAAAAGGAAAAAAACAAGCTCAATAACATACAACATTATTACTTGACCATTCTATCTTAGATGCCCTTTTTTTTGTTTCATTTAATTGACTATATTTTATAATCTAAAGAAGAAGTTGTTTATCTTGTTGATTAGTATCATTATCACAATCTTTCTTAATATTTAGTTAAAATGTTTTGGAAGTACAAACAGAAACGAGACCTTTAGTTGATGGAGTAGTAAGGTTGTGTTTTGCCTTTTCTTTAAGGTACTAAAAAGATTTTATCTGCTTGGAAACATAGAATTGTGAATGTTTTGAATACTCTGTTTGGTAACAGAGATGGTTTTTTACATTTCATGGTTGTTTATTTCGAAGTTATGTTGTGTGTTGAATTTTCTTAGGGAGCTTAAAACATTGAGTGGAAACTTAATTTTGGCTAGTATTTTAGGCCCTTTTCTGTTTTTTATAATGAAGGGTTATGTTGTACCTAAAATACCCTTGAAGTATTGGAAATGGTACAAAATTACACTTCATCCATCTATTGGCTCCAAAATACCCTTTTCACCCACCTATTAGGTCCAAAATACCCTTGTCATCCACCTTTTGGTTCAAAATGGACCGTTAAATAAGAGGTCAATTTTGAATCCAAAGTTGGATGACAAGGGTATTTTGGAGCCAATAGGTGAATGAAAAGGGCATTTTGGAGCTAATAGGCGGATGAAGGGTAATTTTGTACTATTTTCAATACTTTAAGGGTATTTTAGGCCCTTTTTCGTATAAAAAATCATAAAAAATGATAAATTTTATTGATTTGGACTTATAAAACTTTTTTATGAAGGTTTACAAACTTGATTACATTTACAAAAATAAAAAAGGAATAGTTTTAAGGATAAATGAGATCAAAATGATTGGAAGAATTATATATTATAAAGTGAACAATTAATATAGGACTATGAAAAACTTTCTTTTCGAAATAACCTTGAAAAAAAAGTAAATATCACACAAATTAAGGGGAAAAGAGAGTAAAAATTAATGTGATTGTGTATTTAGAGAAATTGGCAGGTATATTTAGTTATTAAAAATTTACTTTGATCTGTCCAATTCAGTCCACTTAATTTTTTTGCATGTGACATTTAATACCTTAAAATAGTTAACTTTGATTGTATAGCCAGTTACAAATTCAATTTTCTGATTTTATAAGTTATTTTAATTATAGGAAATCGTCGTTTTTATGTAAAAGAGATCTAAAAAATACCAAGAGATATCATTTGTTTTGTATTATAGATACAAAATTCCTACATTTTAGCCACTTTTTAAGTAAGGGCGAATCTAAAAGGGGCGAAGGTATTCTCATTTGAAATTTCTTGTCAAAAAATTTATATGATATATATAAGAATTTTTTCAGTGTTTATATATAAATTTTAAAGTGTAACTTACATTAATAGTTATAGTCTTAGGGTTATCAGATAGAAATAGCTACAAGTATCATATTTTTAAAAAATAGCTAAGTTTGTGAATGGTTATATCCATATATATGTCGTTTTATTTTTAATAGGAAAACTTATTCTAATAAATTTCCCACTAAATAAGGTAAATTGGTTAATGTAACATACAAGGCTTTTTTTCAGCCCTTAAATCCATTAATTCGGCATTTTAAATATGTAACTGATCACTACCTTTTAGTATTCTTATCAGTTCAAAAATAAAAATTAGCTATGCTCTTTATTCTTCAATTGCCTCCTAAGAAAAATACAATTAAATATCTACCATCACATATTTTGATCCGATGTTTCATAAAATAGAGCGAAGAGAATTGCTATGTAGAATATAGCATTAACTTAACAATGGTGAAGAAATAAACTTCGTATTCTGATTTATGACGGTATGCATAGTAATGAAAGGTTTATTTTTTGTGAGAAAAATGATATTTTTCGTATTAAGTTGTTTATGTATTCATTTATTTAAGTATTTAATGTATGCATACTTTCGTATAGAATGTATAAATGAAATTATGTATTGATTATAGGTTGTACTATCAACTTATTGCACTTATTTAGTAAGTGATGAAGGGAAGACTTATATCTTATGCTTGGAAAAGAAGACGTGTAGTTGCAATAGGTTTCTAGTTTATGGAATACAATGCGCACATGCGTGAAGGGTGTTGAACAAAACAAGAATTGTTCTAGATGAATATTGTTCACATTTTTACTTGTCAGAAACAATATTGAAAACATATGAAATGCATGTATCCTCTTCCTAACAAAAGTGAATGGAATCTACTTGAACACACTGCTACTGAAGTTGTGTTGCCATCAAAGTACAAGCTACATCCGGGAGGCCAAAGAAGCAATAGAAGTCATTTAGTGATTTGAGTAAAAGGAAGTGTACTAATTCTTGTTGTACACATATAATAGGTGGTTCATGTCAAACTGCAATATGAAATGCATAGTACTTGATACATCCCGCTGTAAAATCATTCTTTAGCTTAATTATCGTTATGTCGAATCAATGAATTAAAAAAGTTATCTTCTCTTTGAAATATTTGTTTTTTTATTTGTTTGCTTAAATTATAAATTAACTTGAATGTTATCTCAATACTTAATTTGATACTATTAATATGTATTGACATATCCAAACTACTGACAATACGTGCATATAGTTATACTTGATAATATGTTGGTGAATACATATATATAACAATTATGCTAGTGAAAAAGTTGATAAATATAATACACAACCTATAAAAATACAAAAGGAACAATATTCTTTGTATACACTTACAAATTACTTTGGTGTATGATAAAAATCACTTTAAAAACTTGTAATAATGTAATTACTACCAACATTTACGATATGGTTATCACTTTTAAGAATGTAAGTATCCAAATTTCTTTAAATAATAACTCACAATAAATAAATATTGTAATACTTGTGTATATTTTGTTATGAAAAAGAGTCTAGCATACATTTATACTATTGAATATATTGATAAAAAAATTACACAACTGAACATATTGATTATCAAAAGTAGATATCCAAGTGTATATGTTTTTAGATGAACTGTATATTTATATAAACATACATCCATCTCTTGCTACCACTACATTGAATGCAATAACCGCAACAAAAAAGTTTAATAAAGGAGCTACCAAAATAGTAAAGAAACATGATCATATATCAATAGAAGAGTTGATAGTGTTTGACAAAAAATAAAACATTAGTTAAGCATTCAATAGAAGTTAAAAATGAAAACTAGCAAAAGAAACTAATAAATTCTAACAAGTTGAGTATTATCGATTTTTGCGGGTGGCCTGATCATTCTGGGTGGTGCCTCAATCTCGCTAACAGCCCCTTCTTCCTCCTTCTTTGCTGCATATTCTCACAATACTGTGTCGTATCTGAGGCGGTGTAACTTAGAATCAAGATATTGAACTGAAATACTTTCACCTTCACTTAGGTACTCTGCAAATGCTAGATAATATATCCGACAATCCCTGATAAATGAGGAAAATACATTACTTATTAAATAAGATACTATTTTTTTAAGTATATTAAGAGAATGACAACACTTAGTACAACCAACTTCTGAAAAAATAATAACAACATAACTCTAAATACACTAGAAAGTATTCAAAAATGAAAAGGGATTCAAATACAACAGAAGATATTCAAAGTGTATGACACACTATAAATATTCAATGGTTAAATGTATGTCACAATATACAAATTTAGAAGGTATATCCTCCACATAAACTTACTTGTTCAACTTACACTACATTCATATGACTACACCTTATTATAATCATCTTCAAAAAACAAATAACAACTTATCAAATTTTTTCCATTCATAGTCAGTGATGTACCTTCTTTCCCCTTACAAGAACCACAATTTTCTTATTCTTCCATCAGACTCAATGTTATAGGGTTATTCAAAGATTCTGATTTCTTCTGAATCTCCATTGCAACAATGGAGCATGAAATTTGTGATTGCTTTTTTGCTATACACAATCAAACGAGAGCATTCCAAACAAATAATTATTGGGATAATTTGTGCCTGTTGTGACCCTGTTAAGAGTATCCAATTCCGAC